AATATGAAAAGGGCTGGGGATATAGCTCAGTGATAGAGTGTTGCCTAGCATGCATAAGCCCCTGGGTTCAATCCTCAGTAATATTCTTTTTTGTTGTTTGTTTGTTTAAAATATTTTCTTCAACTTTTAAAATAAATTTTTAGCTTGGTTTTTGGTGCTTTTCTCATACCAATTTTTAGTTTTAACACAGTCAGATGCATCCTTTGTGTTTTCTTTACAGCCTCTTGCTTAGGAAGAGTCTATCTTGCTTAGGAATTTCCTAAAAATCTATGATTCACATTGTAATCTATTTAAAACTTGTTATTTATGGTGTTAGACAGGAATTGGACTGAATTTTATTCCAACTAGATGATTTATGGCCACCAGTTTATTTACCTCTATTTATCAACTAACACAACCTGTCCCATTTAGAATGCTCTTTATCATAAACTCCATAATTGTGTGTGTGTATATGTGTGTGTGTGTGTCTGTCTGTCTAGTGGTGTACTCTTCATTCCCTTGTATCTCAATATTTACTCATTTGAGCATCATCCCCACTTCTGTTTTTCAACATATTTACTTAATATTTTGGCCTCATTCACTTTAAAATTAAATACTTACTTTACCTTCACCCTAAGCATGTAAAATCATACTTTAATTTTTTTCTAGTAAACATTAAATTAAATAAATAACTTTCGAAATGACAAGTATTGATCATGTGATATTTTCAATCATCATACAATCCACAAGCAGAATGCAGAACTGTTTTGGGGAAACACTGTTGCATTCTTTTCACTGATGAATTGTCCATTTCTATGATAACACATTGCTCTATTTTTATGGCATGTTTCTGAAATAGTTTTCATTTTGAAAATTTGTAAAAATAGTATGGAGAGGCCCCCCATATCCAGCAGCTTCTCCCATTGAGGACGTCTTATACATCCATAGCACATTACCAAAAACCAGGAAACAGATATATGTACAACAGAATTAAGTGGAACTTTGGTTTTTCACCCATTTTTCCTCCTGCTCATTTTTGAGTCCCTGTATATAGTTTTGTGCCATTTTATTATATTTAGAGATCCAAAGAGCTATCATCGCCATGGAAATACAAAACAGCCATGTCATCACAAAGGAGCTTCCTTGGGCTATTTATAGTCACATCCTCCCTCTGTTCCCACACCCTGGAAAACACTGATCCGTTCTCCACCTCCATAATTTTGTCACTTTGATGTCATATAAATGGAACCATACAGTACATAACTTTTGGGGACTGACTTTTTTCACTCAGTATAATTCTGAAAACTATGGGTAGCAATAACGCTCCAGTTTTGTTGCTGATAGTATCCCATTCTGTGGATGTATCACAGTTTGTTTACCTCCTAAGACCATCTGGTTTGTTTTCATTCTAGGGGCTATTACAAAGAAAGCTCCAGCTAGGCAGCAGGGTGGTGTACACTTGTAATCCCTGCTACTCAAGAGGCTGAGGCAGGAGGATCACAAGGTTAAGGCCACTTAGTGAGACCATTTCTCAAAATAAAAAATAAAAAGGGCCAGGGATAGAGCTCAGTGGCAAACACCTCCAGGTTTAATCCCCTGTACCACGAAGAAGGAAGGAAGGAAGGAAAGAAGGAAAGAAAGAAAGGAGGGAGGGAAACAGGCAAGTAAACTACTATGTACTTTTGGTATAGATTTTTGTGTGAGCATAAGGTTTCACTTCTCACCAGTGACTCAGGAGACTGAAGCAGGAGAATCATAAGTTCAAGTCCAGCCTTGGCAACTTAGTGAGACCCTGTCTCAAAATAAAAAAATGAAAAGGACTGGGGATATAGCTCAGTAAGAGCACACCTGGGTTCAATTCCCATACTATCCCCCCAAATAAAAGATTTCATTTCTCTAGAATAAATGCTCAAGAATTCAGTCCCTTAGTTGCTATGTGTATGTTTAATTCTTTAAGAAACTGCCAAACTAGTTTCCAGAGTGACTTGTATACCATTCCACGTTCCCACCAGCAAAGTACAAGAGTTCCAGTTTCTCTGCCTCATCCCCAGTCTTTGGTTTTCAGTATTTTTTATTATCTTTTCTAACACATGTTTCACTTTGTGGCTCTAATTTACTTTCCCCTAATGGTTGGTGATTGGAACATCTTTTCATGGGAATATTTGTGTGATGTGTTTTGGTATCTGATGGCAAGTCTGAGAATTGTCTTTCTTGTTTGGTGACCCTGAGGGAGACCTTGGGCTGCCCTTGGTCACTCCCTGTTACCTCTTGTAGTAAGAGGAAAGGATGGTTAGGAAGTTGGCTCAGGAGCTCCAGAGTTCTGAGCAAGTGCCCCAGGACAGAATGCAGCCTCCAGTACCAGGTGTGACAGCACCCTTCCTCCTGTCTGTACCCTCAAGCCACATTTCATAAAGCCATAAAATGCCTTTTCACAAAATGCCTTTGGGATGGATTCAATTGGGGTGTTGTAAAGAAGTTCTGAGTCTGGTCTCCTAACTGATAATGGTGAAACTCAAGCAAAAGAGACTAAACTGGTCACAATGTAGTCACAAATATTACCCTATTTTTTTAATGTGCAAATAATTGGAGCTGGGGAGCTTGGGTTACCCCCAAGGAGCCAGTGGTCCCTGCAACCCTTGAAGAGCAGAGCAAGCATCTGGTTGATGTGCTCTGCCCAGCACCTGGGCAGGACCTGACCTCAGTTAGTGGAGTGGGGAACACCTCTGAGCAGTGACTACATCCCTCCATCCTGACTCCCCTTCTCCCTGGGGTTGACTGGGAACATGAAGATGCTTGAGAACCTCTGAGATCAAGGGCAGGGCCTGTGAGCCAGGGTCCCTGAGGAGTCAGAGTACACCCTGAAGGAGTGAACACCCACTGGCACTAGCAGGAAGCAGCCAGAGTCAGCTCATGGGGTGGGATTGGAGGGAGGGGTTTCAGATTATCCTCTGGAGCAGGGATTCTAAAGCTTCTAAATTCTAAAGATTCTCCCCTGTGGATCCGGAGAATCCTGGCAAACAGCACATTCCAAATGCAGCTCCTTTCTCTTGTTCTCCAGGGGAATGGTTATCCTTCCAGAAGATTCCATTTATACCCATGCCCAAAGTTTCCTCATTGTAACCTATCAACAGCTTTATTAAGGATTGTCAAATAGGTTATTCATGAAATAAAATTAGAGCATTTCTAGAGTTTGTTGTCAGTATGACCTTGAGTAAGTTAATTAAATCATACTCCTCTCCTTCTGCATCTGTAAAGTGGGAATAATAACAGTTTAAATTTCATTGAAACAGTGTCTAGCCTGGAGCAACTACCGCAGAAGTGTCAGCTATTCTTATAACTAAAATGTGAGCAGAGGTAGCCACTACAGCTTCTGGCTACATTGCAAACACCAACTGTGAGCGCCCCCTGGAGGGGATTTGAATTCGTGCAACTGTGAAAAGCCTGTGTTCCTGGGTTTCTGCAGGGGGGGACGCCCTGAGTGAGTGTTCTGTCGTCATTGTTCTTCCTTTGTGATAGTAAATCACTCTCATTATTCGGGAGTGTTTGGTAAATCCTACAGAGTACGACCCTGCATATTTCCACAATCTGATTTTAAACAGCATGTTCTAATGCCTAGATTTCAAGTCAGCAGTGTATGTGGTTTAAACATGGATCATCTCTACCCCTATAGTTAATGTATATTTATACACCACCTTCCTCCAAATATTTTACTTTTCTGAACACTTTGCGATGTTACTACGTGAGAATATGTGATGAACGTGGGCTGCAAGCATGGTTTCCAACCTTTTTTAAAGTGTCCCCTAGTCCTGGAGATCCTGCACATAGAGGGCATTGATCCAGAGCCCTGGAGTGGCACTGCTATTAGGTTATATGGAGAGTGGTGGAAGTCCCCTCTGGAAGGTACCCAGCATCCTGATGTGGTAGCAGTTGTCCTTGGGCTCCTCCTGGGGATCCTGGCTCCCTGTTCTGCCCTCTACCCCACACTAGCTAACCTCTTCATAAACACCACTAGGGTCTGTGGGGCAGAATGTTCACACGTACCTGCATGTGTGCACATGGATGTACACACACACACAACACACACACACAACACACACACACACACACTGAGGATGGGATCTGGTTCTAGACGTCTCTAGTAGTGGTGCCTCACTAACCACACCCAAGTCTAATCCATTTTTTCCCTCTGTGCTTGAGGACTGAGTATATTACTTTCCATTGGTCCTTACTCTGCTGAAGCAGCAGAATCCTGGTGATCCAGAGTGAGTCCTTTCACTCTGGCCATGACAGTAGACCTGACTTTTTTTTTTTTTTTTGTACCAGGGATTGAACCAAAGGCACTTAATCACTGAGCCACATCCCCAGCCCATTTTTATGTTTTATTTGGAGACAGTGTCTCTCTGAGTTGCTTAGGGCCTCACTAAGTTGCTGAACTTGCGATCCTCCCACCTAAGCCTCCCAAGCTGCTAGGATTACAGGCGTGTGCCACTGCACCTCGTCCCCAGTTCCTTTTATTTTTTAAAATTTTATTTTTTAGTTTGAGGTGGACACAATATATTTATTTTATATTTATGTGATGCTGAGGACAAATCCAGTGCCTCATGCATGACAGGTGAGCACTCTATCACTGAGCCACAACCCCAGTCCTTTTATTTTGAGACAAGGTCTTGCTAAATTGTTGAAGCTATTCTCAAACTTGTGATCCTTCTGCCTCAGGCTCTTGAGTAGCTGAGATTATAGACCTATGGCACTCTGCCCAGCTAGATCTGACATTTATACTGATGCCCATCCTATATATGCACATGATACAACATTCTACATTAAATGGTTGAGGAAGCTGGGCCCAGAGAAGGTGAACAATTTGTCAGAGGTCACACAACAGGCCCCAACCCGAGAAGTTCTGAGAAGTTCCTTGTTAGACTCTTATCAAGATGCTTGTTGGAAAAAAAAAAAAAAAGATGCTTGTTGGTAACCTAATCCCAGCTAGTGAACTAACCTGATTTCCTTCCTGGTCCCTGCAGATGCCAAGGGTACCATCAGGGAAATTGTCCTGCCCAAGGGCTTGGACCTGGACCGCCCCAAGCGGACCCGCACATCCTTCACTGCTGAGCAACTGTACCGCCTGGAGATGGAGTTCCAGCGCTGCCAGTACGTGGTGGGCCGCGAGCGCACGGAGCTGGCCCGCCAGCTGAACCTCTCAGAGACCCAGGTAAGAGGCAGGCCCAGGCCTCTCCACCCTGTCTTGGCTACTGGGGAATTCCTTGGGGTATGAGACCTGGGCTGCTATAGGCCAAACTTTGGAGGAGGTCACACATGCACAAGGGAGAGATTTAAAGCTATAGGCAAACCAGAGCAAATGGAGTACTGAGAGAGTTAGTAAGTGCCAACAGTAGGGGGCCTTGGGTGGAATATGGGAAAAGGCTTCAATAAATTAGAGGGGGCAATAAAAATTTAGGGAGTGGCTTACGGAAATGTCAGCTTGTAAGAGGAACCTCGAGAAGGGATGTGAGGGGTTGGCATGCTGGAAAAAATGATTCTGGGAGATGCTATTATGGGGGAGTACACTCCTGTAATCCCAGCTACTTAGAAGGCTGAGTGGGTAGGATCACCAGAGTCTAGGCATTCAAGGCCAGCTTGGGTAACATAGTGAGACCCTGTCACAAGAAAACAATTCTGGGGAGAGATGAGACATGACACAATAGGTCTGGGGAACTCTCCCTTCTTCATTTTGGGCTCCTTCCCACCCTCTGAACCTTCCCTTCTTCTCAGTATACCTCAGTCCCTCTTATGCAGAGGAGGGATCTGAACACTCCCTTCACCCACCCAAAAGGGCTGGCATTTTAACAACGGTATGCTTAGCCCTAGGAAAAACTTTTATAAACTGAGCACCTACCCTATGTGAATGAAGACATTTCAAGCTGGTTCTGGAACTGTGAAATAATAATACTCGTACTTACACATGCCAGGCACTAAGTGCTCTGCCTGTTAGGTAACTAATCAGTCACAACAACTATATGATACTGGTGTATTATCCAATTTGACAGATGAGGGGAGGTTATGTCCAAGGTCATACAATGAATAAGTCCCAGAGCTGGGATCTGGATGATCAGTCTGGCACCTTGAAGTGGAACCTGGCCCACCTGCCTCAAGCTCGTCAAAGAGTAACTCAGAAGTCGGGCACATGGCACTCGTCAGCAATCCCAGCTGCTCGGGAGACTGAGGCAGGAATATTACATTTGAGGACAGCCTCAACAACTTACGGAGACTCTATCTCAAAATAGATTAAAAAGGGCTGGGGCTGGGGCTGGGGCTCAGTGGTAGAGCACCACTAGCATGAGCCTAGCATGTGGCCCTAAATTCAATCCCTAGCACCAAAATAAGTCAATAAATGAATAAGAACACAGCGACCCTTAGTTTAGCTATAGCTCTAGCAGTTTAATCTCATGTATGAGGGAGATCAACCAATAGACAGAGTGCCAACAATGAACAAGACAGGATTTATAAAGGGAAGGGAGGCGAGAGGAGAGGAAGCAAACTGAGTACTCTGGGTTCCTTCCTGGGAGCCATGCAGGAGACTGCATGGAGCCTCTCCATGTGCCACAGCTGTCCTGCCCTTGGCCTGGCACTTCTTCACTCACAGAATCCTCTAGCTCTTCAACTCACACTAACAGAATGTGGCCAGCAGGGCAGTCTGATAGACCTGGTTATCCTGGTCCCCTTGGGAGTTGAGCAGGCTACTCTTGGAGTAAACCAAGAGCTCTAAGGGTGCAGAGGAAAGAAGGGCCACCTGACGAGGAAGGCAAGGCGGGGGTGGATGCGGAGCAGCTGGTGTCCTGCAGGGGCAGGACATTTCCACCTGGTTTTGGTTAGCTCCTGCTGCCACTGCCTAGTTCCCCACACGACAGCTGGGTCCCCCATCCAGCTGGGATGGGCCTGGGGCTGAGAAGCTAGGCTTGTGCTCAGAGAGGAGGCTACAGTGGCTGGGCTGGGCCAGGCCAGGGCTCCCAGGGAAGTTAGGGAGACACCATCATCCCTGAAGGCTATGCCTAGGTCAGCACCTGCCCCTTTCCTTGGTGCTAATCTCCCTCTGCCTCACCTAGTTTTGCCCTAAGCTCTCCCCTGAAACTGTGTTCTCTGGGGACCTTCTGGGTCCTCATCCTTCCCTTGCCTAGCACCCTACCCCACATCCAGCCTTGACCCTCAGAGGTCATCTGAAGCCCCTTTTCTTCCAGTAGGTCTTCCCTAAGGCTTCTTGACCCAAGAGAATATTCCATGGCTTGACCTTAAAGTGTGTGTTTGTGTATCTGTATGTTGTGGTGGCATACTGGTATGCACTGCCCAAGGACAACTGGTATGCACTGCCCAAGGACAAGAACACGTTTGAAAGCCATGTCTCTTCTGCAGGCTCCCTTGGGGAGCCCAGAATAAGCTGGCCTCATGGTGAACCCTCAGCAAATCTTCAGCTTCTTGCTTCCTGCTTACGCCCTCCTCTCTCTTCCCAGTCCTGGGATTGTGCAATGGTATAAATAATGTATAGCTAACATTCTCTGGGAACTTTCCATGCACAACTCCCTTCCTGACAGGCTTCGTCTTCACCACAACCATGTGAAATTGGTGTGAGGCATTTTTTCTGACACCAAGTTTGGTGTAGTTTCCAACACTACCCCAGCCAGTTCTCCAAGTCTCTGACACCAACTGAGTGTCTAACAATTCCATTATGACACAAGTTCCGAGTTTTCACAGACCCCACAAGTCAAGGGTAGACCTACCCAACTCAATTCCACAGCAGATGCCAGTGGCAAGTCCCAGAAGCCACCTGTGCTTCTGACCCAGTGGCCCTGAATTCAGGGGCTTCCACATCCCCTTCTTGAGGTTCAATTTCACAAGAACAGCTCACAGAGCTTAGGATCCACTTTACTTCTATGTATAGTTTATTATAAAGGATATAAGTCAGGCTAGGAATGGAACCACCACATGACCCAACTATACTACTCCTTGGTATTAACCATTTTTTTTTTGGTGTGGGGGGGGATTAAACTCAGGGGCACTCAACATTGAGCCACATTCCCAGCCTTATTTTGTGTTTTATTTAGAGACAGGATCTCATTGAGTTGCTTAGCACCTCACTGTTGCTGAGGCTGGCTTTGAACTCACAATCCTCCTGCCTCAGCCTCTTGAGCCACTGGGATTATAGACATGCACCATTGTGCCCAGCCAGTATTAATCTCAAAGAAGTAAAGTCATCATACTATAGTAATACAAGTGTACCCCTGTTTATAGCAGCACAATTCACAATAGTCAAACTGTGGAACCAGCCTAGGTGTCTATCAGTGTATGAATGGATAAAGAAAATGTGGTATAAGTACACAATGGAGTTTTATTCAGCCATAAAAAAGAATGAAATTATGTCATTTGCAGGAAAATGAATGGAACTTGACAACATTCTGTTAAAAAACTCAGAAAGCCAAGGGTCTTATATTTTCTCTCATATGTAGAAACTAGAAAGGCAAAATGAAAAGAAAGGTTGGGGGATCTCATGAAAATTGAAGGGAGATCAGCAGAGTAGAGGAAAGGGACTCGGGGAGGGAGGAGGGAAGGAAAGGGGAAATACTGAGGAACCATATTGACCAAATTATATTGTTATATTGTGTGCATATATGAATATGGAACAATGAATCCCACTGTTTTATATATAGATATAATGCACCAATAAAATCTGGGAGAATTTTAAAAATAAAGGTAAAATTGATTCTAAAAAAATAAAGGATATAAACCAGGAAGAGCCAAGTGGAAGAGGGGCACAGGTCAAGGGGATGGAAGGGGAGGGTCTTTCATGCTTCTTCAGCCCCCCCACCCTCCCAACACTTCCACATGTTCCCCAAACAGACCTCCAATCTCCAGCCTCCCTCACTCCTTGAAGGTGAGAGGAAGCTGAAGGTTTCCACCCTATAATCATGTGTTGGGTCTTTCTGGGACTAGCCCCAATCCTGAAACTCATGAGGGGTCCAGGAGTCACCTGAATAGCATACATTCAGATTGGTTCAAAATGAATAACAAAAGGCATTTCTGTCACTTGGGACCCTCCAAGGGTTTAAGAACTCTGTATCAGAACCTGAGACAGAAACCAAACATTTCTTTTCTTATTTTCCACTGGGGACTGAACTTCATGGGTGCCTCACCACTGAGCTACATCCTCAATTCTTTCATTTTTTATTCTGAGACAGATTCTTGCTAAGTTGCCAAGGGTCTGACTAAATTGCTGAGGCTGGTCTCAAACTTGCAATCCTCCTGCTTCAGCCTCCCCAGTCACTGGGATTACAGATATGCACCACTGTGCACCTGGCCTAACATTTCTTGTTACACTGCAATAGGTCTTTATTATTTTCAGCTTGAATGGAAAGAAACTGAGGCACAGAAAGTTTGAATAATTAGCTAAAGACTTAAAGCAGGAACATTCATTAGCTCATTTAAACTTTAGAAGAATTGGTTTTGTGGATAATGTTATCCCCCACGTAAGAAAACTGAGCCTCAGGTTATTTAGCTAGAATTCCATGGAATTCATAGTACATTCAGCAATACTTTTATTAAAAAAATATTCTTGAATGCCTACTATATACCAGGTGCTGTTCTAAGGCCCAGGAGATGTAGCAGAATTTCAGAGTGCTATGAGGGGTGTCAAATGGGGTAGATGGTAGGGATTCAGAGGAAACATTTTATTGGAAAAGTCAGGGAAGGACTCTTTGAGATGACACAGAGCTTAAACCTGAATGACAGGTAAAAGATGGCCAGAGGAGGATCCAGAAGAAAAGTCAAGGCAGAGAGTAATTTTACTGACCTGGGGGTAGGACCTGGCATAGAATGTTCTAGAAGTGTCAGAAGGCCAGCCTGGCTTGAGTTGGAGGGTAACAGGGCAAGTAGATCACGGCAGATTATGTTATGCTTATAGCCAAAGGTAAGGCCTTGAAGGGAAAGTCACATGAGATGATTGGCATTTTACAAAAGTCATTGGCTGCCATCTGAAGAATGGATCACAAGGGAGCAGAATGGACCAGTTAGGGGCTACTAACATGGTATTTTGAACAGAGTGGTGGTAGAAGAGAGAAGAGGAATGATCTGAGATGTATCCCAACTTGGAGGTAGAACCTGTTAGGACATGCACAGGGTGAGGGGAAGGCTCAAGCACCCGGGTGAGTGGCAAAACCCTTTATG